CCCCTTTTAACTGTCGTTCTCATTTCCTAACGAGCCAAATGTATTCAACTATAACCAAATTATAAAAAATACTAATATTTATAATATATAATTAGTGTCATCAAATAGATCATTAAATCTATTTTCATAATAAACTTATTTCTAGATATAAATGTTACTAATATTTTCTATAAATTTAGTTAAAGTTACGAAAGTTTACCGAGCAATCTTGGACGGAGCGAGTATTAGGGCTATTATCGTCGGCCGAAGGGTCGGCATTCACATATGCATGGCCACGGTAGTAGCAGGCCCATCATAGTATATAGTCTAATCTAAAATAAAAAAAAAGGAAAAGAATACAAACCTTGTTTTCTGAGAATTTAAATTTTAACTAGATATACGTAAAAGATATATTTTACTAATTAATCATAGAATATGTTTGTATAATAAGATAACTAAAAGATACAAACATTCATACTGCTTTAAGAATCAACTTAGATATTCAAATATTGGTATTCTCTAGCCATTTCAAATTTTTCGTTATTAGCTAAAGTAAAAACTATTCAAATATTGGTATTCAAACGCTCTTGAGAATTGAGATGCTCTAAGTGTTAGTTTTCTATTTAGGATGCTTTTACAATGGCATAGAAAAAAAATTGCATAATTGTTGGTCCCAAAAACTTCCAACTAATTTCTGAAATTTTGCAGGGTATGAGATGCTAAAAACTAGGGAATTTGCTGCTCGACATGACGCTTTCCCACTAATTTCTTTTGCTGTTGGTGCTCGTCGAAGCATTATGTTTGGATGAGTAGGAACAGTGGCATGAGAAATGGCATCACCGTGCATCAACACGCAAGACCTTGGATCTGACCATGGGATCTCTACTCCTCACGTCCTCCGGTATGCCAGACTAAAATCCAGCTCGGTAAAAAAAGCAGGACTACAAGCAGGAGGGGGCGTCTCTTCACAGTTAATTCAGTCCGGCAGTTCCCCAATAAAGGAAACGTAGGTATAGTCAGGTTTTATTACTGGCAGCTTTTTCCAGCAAGCTCACGCCACTGCACTGCACGGTTAATTGGTGATGGATCCCTTGCTGGTATCTGCGAGGCTGCCCATCGAGATCACCCAGCGAGATCCCATTGGCGCAGCTGCCCATCGAGATCACCCAGCGAGGCTCCGGCATCTGGTCGTAGACCCTACGGAGAACAGAGGAAGCTGAGAGAGTGAGCATTGCTGCAAGAAGTTAATCTGTAAGCCGCGAAAGGCAAGATACGGGTTGGTGTCAGGAAGCAAGACGTTTGGACTGTTCGCTTCAATCAGCTTCAGCCGATTTTAATACCAGCCAAACAGGCCTGTTACTTACGAAGCGCGGGCGCCATCTTGTTGGTGAGCGTGCCGGCGACGATCATCAGCATGTTCGCTGGGTCGTAAACGATCGTAAATTTCAGCCAGAACAGTATTTTTCTCTCACACCAAACCAGCCAGCAGTAATAATCCATGATCGTATCGTATCAGCAGCAGCCGAACAGGCTACATGCTATCGGACTGGCGCGGCCAGGGGCGGAAGATGACGCCGAAGCGGTCGAAGTCGTAGCGGGAGGCACCGGCGTGCATCGTCTCCACGGAGCAGCAGGCGAGCCCGAACGTCACGGGCCAGATGGAGCCCCGCCTCGCCAAAATAGCCTGCTGTTGGAATCTGTCGGTGTCTGGTAGGCCGACAGAACCAGTCGGCCAGTGGGTAGCCGACATGACGGGGGACGTTAGGGCCGACAGCAAAGGCATGCGTAATCGGTCCAGCCGTCCATTTTAGCGGTACAAACGCGTACTACTATACTACACAGAGCCGAGCAGCACCAGTGATTGATTGATTCCCTCTACCACGCCTTGCGTCAACGCGCCAGACCACGGATTTGACCCAATCCTCTCTTTTCTTTTGCAAAAATTTGTGAAATCAACTTCTCCCATCTAAGACTGTCTGATGCAAATCTAAAATGCGTTCGTTACCGTACTTAGCCTGCTCAAAAACAGCCTCCAACGAGTGACCCCATACACAGCATCAATTTTGCGTACCGGCACAGACCATACGCAAAAAAGCATCCCCTCTCTACTCGTTACCCAAATCTCCGATGGCACGGCCGGCGGCAACGATTTCTCCTGTGAGGGCTGTCGCACCGCGCTGCCCCCAACATCAGTCGCGTCGTGCGCACCAGCCGTCCTTCCGAGTGCCCGCACTGCCATGGCCATGCCGAGGCACTGGACGCCGAGCTAGGCACCGGTGGCACAGCGACCTCTCCGGCCGCCTATAAAACGCGACGCCGCGCTGCTCGCTTCTCTTTCCCTCCACTGAGCTCACCGCGCCATCCCACATTGCTGATCGCCATCCATCCGCTCCAGTTTCTCCACCTCTGTTCTTACTCTGGATAGGGAGCACCTCGTCGATCTCCGGCGCCGGGCCACCACAGCTCGATTCCTTTGATGGTGAGGCTCTCCAAGCCCTCCTCCACCTTCCTCTAGCATCTATTTCCCTTCTCCCCTCGCAGGTCGTGCTCTCCACGAGCCATGCTGTACAGCCATGGCGGACGAGCTTGAGGACACGAACGCCTGTACCTCGGGAGAGGGAGAGAGGAAGGGGAGGCGACGGGAGCTTTTCTCGTTTGCGTCGGCTGTTGGAAACAGTAATTTTTTGGGTCCGTGACCTTTCGTTGTGCGGTACCCAAACCACGGTATGTGTCTCGTTTTTAGGTTCGATCCGTTGGAGACAGTCTAAGGAAACGTAAGGCTGCTAGGTAGTGGCAGCTTTTTCCCCTCATAGCTGACGCAACCACCGGATGGATCGATCCCAACGGATCTGTTACCGAGAGGTAAGAGCAAGGGCAGTGTACATGGGTGAACCAGTCCATAGGAGCGGGTCCCACAACAGATGGCAGTAGTTAAATTTCAAGCCACAATGTATCCGGATGAATGGCGCCGAGCTCGACGCCAGTGTCACCGCCACGTCTGCTTCGAGCCTAAGAGCTCGGCGCCAGCGACGTGTAAGCTCGGCGCCAGCGACGATGGCGCCGAGCTAAGGGTCTATATTTTGAAATCTTTCTTCCAGGGGCATATTTTTGAAAAATTTTCAAAAAAATGGCTAAAAAATAAAAAATTCGGGCATGGACACCGTTGACAGCATCAGATCGGCGGTAGAAAAATCGAGCGTCACAAGACCAAGAAACACTTGGGTGACACATAGATTTAGCGTAAAATAGAGCCAAACTTACAGAGTAGGCATTTTTCGGCTTTAGCTTTCAGAACAGCTAGCTTGACTTTCCACGGGCGAAGGAGACACCAGGTCAAGCGGTCAGTAATCTGGTCGGTTCGAGGCTAGGTTAATGTTAATGATAGCAATTGAACGACTAGATGTGACAATGGATTTAGATAATGGCAATCTAAAAATTAAATGGGCTCTAGTAGTTGATTTGGCTATATATACACGTGTTATTCACCTGTATAATACTATTCTACACCAAACTGTTATACACTATTATTCATAGACGGGATCTATTTGAATATAGATATCCATAATCATGTGATCCAACAAATCTAAATGCATTTGGACACTGATATGGTGGTTTTAGGCGAGTAAATTTCTTGGGACCGACTAGGAATGATTGTCCTGTTCGCTTGGCTGATAAGCCATTGCTGAAAGTACTATTGACTGATTTGTTGTGAGAGAAAATACTGTTCATTGGCTGAAAAAGTACGGCTTATAAGCCAAGCGAACATGGCGGATGGAATTAGAGAAATTGCATCCCATGCATCTTAAGAGTGCTGCTACTAACACATGTTAGGAGTGTGGCTATGGATTTGTCGATATAGGGAATCAAACGAGTAACGCATGTCAGTTGTGCAACAATAAAGAATCACTCAGACGCCATATAGGTACATCAATTTAGGTACATCAATTTCGTCATAGTACAGTACAGCACGTAGGTACAAAGGTTTATACTGCTTACTCGATCCCCTTTTAACTGTGGTTCTCATTTCCTAACAAGCCAAATGTATTCAACTATAACCAAATTATAAAAAAATACTAATATTTATAATATATAATTAGTATCGTTAAATAGACTATTGAATCTATTTTTATAATAAACTTATTTCTAGATATAAATGTTACTAATATTTTCTATAAATTTAGTTAAAGTTATGAAAGTTTACCTAGCACGCTTGGACGGAGCGAGTATTAGGGCTATTATCGTCAGCCGAAGGGTCGGCATTCATATATACATGGCCACGGTAGTGGCAGGCCCATCATAGTATATAGTCTAATCTAAAATAAAAAAAAGGAAATGAATACAAACCTTGCTTTATGAGAATTTAAATTTTAACTAGATATACGTAAAAGATATATTTTACTAATTAATCATAGAATATGTTTGTATAATAAGATAACTAAAAGATACAAACATTCATACTGCTTTAAGAATCAACTTAGATATTCAAATATTGGTATTCTCTAGCCATTTCAAATTTTTCGTTATTAGCTAAAGTAAAAACTATTCAAATATTGGTATTCAAACACTCTTGAGAATTGAGATGCTCTAAGTGTTAGTTTTCTATTTAGGATGCTTTTACAATGGCATAGAAAAAAATTGCATAATTGTTGGTCCCAAAAACTTCCAACTAATTTCTGAAATTTTGCAGGGTATGAGATGCTAAAAACTAGGGAATTTGCTGCTCGACATGACGCTTTCCCACTAATTTCTTTTGCTGTTGGTGCTCGTCGAAGCATTATGTTTGGATGAGTAGGAACAGTGGCATGAGAAATGGCATCACCGTGCATCAACACGCAAGACCATGGATCTGACCATGGGATCTCTACTCCTCACGTCCTCCGGTATGCCAGACTCCTTGGCTGAGATAGTAAAATCCAGCTCGGTAAAAAAAGCAGGACTACAAGCGGGAGGGGGCGTCTCTTCACGGTAAATCCAGTCCGGCAGTTCCCCAATAAAGGAAACGTAGGTCTAGTCAGGTTTTATTACTGGCAGCTTTTTCCAGCAAGCTCACGCCACTGCACTGCACGGTTAATTGGTGATGGCAGCTGCCCATGGAGATCACCCAGCGAGATCCCATTGGCGCAGCTGCCCATCGAGATCACCCAGCGAGGCTCCGGGATCTGGTCGTAGACCCTACAGAGAACACAGGAAGCTGAGAGAGTGAGCATTGCTGCAAGAAGTTAATCTGTAAGCTGCGAAAGGCGAGATACGGGTTGGTGTCAGGAAGCAAGACGTTTGGACTGTTCGCTTCAACTTATTAGCCGGTTTATCAGCTAGAATTTACAATATTTTTCTCTCACAACAAAACAGCTTCAGCCAGCTTTAATACCAGCCAAACAGGCCCGTTACTTGCGTAGCGCGGGCGCCATCTTGTTGGTGAGCATGCCGGCGACGATCATGCAGTCGGACTGGTGCGGCCAGGGGCGGAAGATGATGCCGAAGCCATCGAAGTCGTAGCGGGAGGCGCCGGCGTGCATCATCTCCACGGCGCAGCAAGCGAGCCCGAACGTCACGGGCCAGATGGAGCCCCGCCTCGCCAAAATAGTTGCAACCTATCGGCTTCTGGTAGGCCTACAGGACCAGTCGGCTAGTGAGTTGCCGACAGGTCGTGGGACTTCAGGGCCCACAGTAAAGGCACGCGTGATCGGTCCAGCCGTCCATTTTAGCGGTACAAACGCGTACTACTATACTACACAAAGCCGAGCAGCACCAGTGATTGATTGATTCCCTCTACCACGCCTTGCGTCAACACGACAGACCATGGATTTGACCCAATCCTCTCTTTTCTTTTGCAAAAATTCGTGAAATCAACTTCTCCCATCTAAGGAAACGTAAGGCTGCTAGGTAGTGGCAGCTTTTTCCCCTCATAGCTGACGCAACCACCGGATGGATCGATCCCAACGGATCTGTTACCGAGAGGCAAGAGCAAGATCAGTGTACATGGGTGAACTAGTCCATAGTCCATAGGAGCGGGTCCCACAGCAGATGGCAGCAGTTAAATTTCAAGCCACAATGTAACCGGATGAATCCGTCTATAGCAGTGGATCTCGCGATGAAATAAAAAATCTCAGTCCTCAACCTCCCGTATCCCTTCGCGCGAGTGGCTGGAGAACTCGTCCTCATCCCTTCCGCCGCCGCCGCCGTCGTCTCCGTCCCTGATCTCACACCTTCCACCAAATCTGACCATGCCCTCCCATGTCTACCTCCTCAAGTATTGCGTCTACTAGAATCTGCAACTTCCCTACCCTGATGAAGCCTACAAAGTCAGATCGGGCTGCGCAACCTAGGGCGCGCCCCCCTCGCGAATATATAATTTCTTATGAACTGCTTATTGTGAACATTGTGGTTGTTCTAAGGGAGAAACGAGGGTTAGCTAGCGTGTGCAACCAACCAAACCATGTGGAAACCAAGACAGATCTGACCACTAAAAACCACCACTACTGTAGTACTAGTACGAACAACAAGGGAAGAAAAAAAAGAAAAGGGGGTTTTTCTGTGCTCACCTCCGCGAGCCGTGCCTCGCATCAATCAGGAGAGGTCACCGGTCACCGTGGCCAAGAACAAGAACAAGTAGTAGCAATTCCTCCCGGTACCTCCAGCAAGTAGAAGCTGCAGGCTCGCCAGGCCACATCTCAGATCCAAGCATCCCCGTTCCTTGACTTTTCAGAGGACACAAGATGGGAGCGTTTGGGATGAAGATGAGCAAGGAGGCCTTCGCCTTGTTCGTTTGTGGTATATATATATATATCGGTATATATATATATATCCCTATCGGCCTTCCGAGCGCCGATAGGGATCGGTGGCTGGAGGGCTACCGGATCTTATCGGCTTCCTAGATGCCGATTATACCTGTCGGCCAGTGGATGGCCGACAGATCCTAACAAGACGCTTGGATCTGGCGGCTGCCCCTTTTTATATGTGAGAAGGCGCCTAGCTGGGTCACATCTATACCAACGGACGGCCCGCGCCTTCCCCAAAAACATCCAACGGCCTATGCATGCTAGACGACGAAGTCATGAGCCCAATCCAGATCCAAACACCGACAAAGTCCAAACCCATCCAATTCCCCTGCTCTCTCTTTTCCTCCTCCTCTCTCTCTCTCTCTTTAAACATCTTTTCCTCCTCTCCAGCGTCTCTCGGGCAGCAGGGGCCGCTCCAGCTCCAGGAACCACACGTCCTCCGAGATGCACCGGGCTGCGGGCTGCGGGCTGCGGGCTGCGGGCTGGGCCCCTTCTGCGGTACACGGTGCTGACAGCTGACACAGAGGATGCTGTAGTGACAAGCCTCCGTTCCATCCACACCTCCACAGCAAACGACGGAAACAAGGCATGCACAGGCAGTAAAAATTTACTGCCAGACGGAGGAGACAATATCTGACACATCCAGGTGAAGCTAGGGCTGGTTCACTTTGCAAATTATTTAAACCTGATAAATAGTACCACTTTCGTCTTATTTAACAAATATTGTTCAATCATAAACCAACTAGGTTCAAAAGATTTATCTCGTGATTTCTAACTAAACTGTGTAATTAGTTATTTTTTTTACCTACATTTAATACTCCATATAAGTGGCTAAAAATTGATGTAACAAAGAGAGAGTGAAAAAACTTAGAATTTGAATGGCATCTAAACGAGGCCCTAGACGGGGCACCTGTGCCTGCGTCCTGGGCTGCGGACCAAGGTACCGTTGCTCGGCATTTGCGCCCTGGGCTGCTCAAGTCATGAAACCCATTTACAGTACTTTTTTTTTTACTGTGAGAGCTCTTATTCGCTCGTATCTTGCTTATAATCCACAACTTGAACAGTGTTTTTTTCTTTCACACCAAACAAGCCAGCAGTACTTTCAACCATAACTTATAAACCAATTCAGCCGAAACAAACAAGGTGCTAGTCTCATATAATAAGTACACTCACCAACTGTGATTACTTCAAATTCGTTTGGTTCACTCACATTTATAAATCTTTAAAAGCACAGGGCCTGTTCGCTGGGAAGAATTTGGAAGAATCTGGAGAAATTTGTGAGAGAGTGAATAGTGTTTTCAGCCATGAACAGTGTTTTCCGGTTGGTTTCTTGAGCAGCCGAACGAGCCCACAGAAGATCATCAGTCAAGTTCCAGTTCATCGTCAGAATCTTCAAGCAGCAACGATGAGGACAGGGATCCATGGAAGTCCAGACCGCGGACGAGATCGAAGGTAACAAAGGACAAAAAGAAGCACCGATCAAAGGTGCAGTTTGTCTCTATAAATTCCTTTTTGGATGTAATAACGATAATGTTTGGCTACGGGCGTCTGTCCTATCCGGACGCCGCATGCCTCACTCTGCACTCGCGGCTGCTGCCGCCTTCTCCAACCATGCGTCGCTCGCTCGCTCCTCGCTCTCGGCCGTCGCACGTCCCACCCACAGCGCTCGGTCCCGCCGATCATGTGCCCCACCTGCCGCTCGCTCCTCGCTCCGGCCACACGCGCCCGCTCCCTCCCGTGTAACGCACGCCACCCGCCCGCCCGAGCCAAGGCCGGTGCTGGTGGCAGTGGTGCCCACGCGCCGCCACTGGTGCTGCTGCCGGATCTCACCCCAACAACCGGAATTGACTGGTCTCGACCTTCCCCTCCCTTATGTTGCAAACATATGTTTCAGATGTTTCGAATGTATGTTTCAATTGTTTCATTTAGATGTTGAAAAATAGATCGAGATGTTGCACATGTTGCAATGGTTATACACGTATGTTGCTTGTGTATGTTTCAAATGTTTACCGGCCTCGAACTTCCCCTCCACTACGTTGTAAACATATATTTCAGATGTTTTAAAGGTATGTTTCAATTGTTTTATTTAGATGTTGCAAAAGTAGATCGAGATGTTGCACATGTTGCAATGGTTATACACGTATGTTTCAAATATTTCAACTATTTTGCATACGTGTGTTGCACAAATAGATCTGAATTTGCATATGCTACAATGACATGTTTCAAACGTATACTTTATATGTTGCAATGGTAAGACCAATGTTGCAGAGGAGATGAGATAAGACCGGAGCAAAATGCGGCGGATGACGGGGCGCAAGACCGGGTGTGGTGGGGGAAGAGGCGTGGAGGAGAACAGGGCGTGGCGGAGACAGGACGCCTTGGGTAGTCGCGGGCGCAGTCGGGACAACACGCTGTAGGTGATGCATGCACGGTGAGGATAAGACCACGCATGGTGAGGCCCGACGGGTGCGCTCCACTGTTACGCGGACATGCGTCTTCCTATTACACTAGGGACTGGACGGGGCTCGGTGGGTGCATCGATGAGAAGCTGCGTCCGGACGTAGACCTAGGGTCGGACATCCGGACGCTAGGCTTGCCGAAGTAATAAAGGACTAGATACTCTACCCAATAAGCGACGTGTGTTTTTAAGGTGATCAATCTCAATCGTCCATTTGTCATCTAACAGTCAACATTACACTGTTACTTTTGTTGTCTTCCATTTCCTCTTCATCTCCATTCAGTGTTTGGTGACAAAAATCCTAATTTGTGAACACAATGAAATGACCTGACCAGAGCAAGCCATCAAATCTTGACTGGCAGCCATGAAAATGAAAGGTTGAAGCAAAACAATTAAGGCCATGTTCGGCAGGACTTATTGCTGTTGCGGCTGATTTATTGCGAGAGAAAAATACTATTTCTATAGCTGAAAAGTATGGTTGATTCTAACTGATAAGCTCAAGCGAACAGGGCCTAGGGCCTAAGGCCTTGTTTAGTTCCTCATTCTAAAGTTTCCTCTCTATCCCATCGAATGTTTGGACATATACATGTAGTATTAAATATAGATTAAAAAAATAACTAATTGCACAGTTTGCGACTAATTTACGAGACGAATCTTTTAAGCCTAATTAGTCCATGATTTGATAATGCGGCGCTACATTAACACATGTGCTAATGACGGATTAATTATGCTTAATAAATTCATCTTACGGATTAATAACGGATTCTGTAATTTGTTTTTTATTAGTATTCGAATATATCATGCGACACCCTAAAACTTTACATCATGTATTTAAACAAGGCCTAATACTAACCATGGGCAAATGTTATTAAGGAGGTAGTGTATCAGGGCATCTAGAACATCCAGGATGCGGTTAGCTACATTCAAGCTCAATACAGTAATTCCTCGTTCCTGCTCCAAAAAAATGTCATAAGGCATCTAAAATCAGTGAGTAGTGTTGAGCACTTGAGCTCCTGCCTGCATTACAGCAGCGAAAAGAACCCCAGGAGCCACAAACCAGCCGGGTATCTGGAAGCCCTCAGCTCCTATGCAATGTGGTGTCTGATTTTTCTTTTTACGCCTTGTTTAGTTCCAAAAAATTTCTAAAAAGTGCTACAGTAGTTATCACATCGAATCTTGCGATACATGCATGAAGCATTAAATATAGACGAAAAAAAACTAATTGCACAGTTTAGTTGGAAATTGTGAGACGAACGTTTTGAGCCTAATTAGTCCATGATTG